GGTCTGAGGCTGTTAATTGCCGTGTGGGTGACCGTCCTGCACGCCGCCCTTGTGGATTCATCCTCTGGCGATGTGAGGGGAGAAGAACAGAGAAGAGAGGTGCAATAATTCAAATCACTAACTCAAGTCTTGATTTTTTTAATGTGATGGATAACAGGAATTATGTAATTTTTGAAGCCAAGCTCAGTATGCATAGCCTTAAGGGACCCTGCAGTATTGCGGTCTGCACCAACCCTGGAGTCAGTAGAGACGAGGTTCAATTGGGGGACTGACAGTTCAGCCTCTCTGCTGCTCGCACCCAGCGAGGAGAGACGCGGCCAGGGCTCTGGCAGCAGGTCATCGGATCTTCGCACTGCCTTCTTGAAGCCTCAGTGTTTATAGGGTGAGGGGGTCTGGATGTACTTTGTCAGCTTGGGGTGTGTTTTTTTTTTTTTTTTTTACTGTTTCCAGAGCCTCAGCTCCAGATATCTCACCTTTTGAAGTTAGGGGAGAAACTTGGGGTCCCCATGCCTCGGAAATCATGCTACGGTTGCCAAGACAGGTCAGGCAGAGAGCAGAGAGCTTGAGGGGTCAGTGTCCAGAAACAGGATTGACTCCGATCTAGTGACAGGTCCTCCAGCAGGCCTTCTCCATTCTCCACTTCAAGCCTGGCCCTGACCTTGGGCCTTGCCCTGAGGCGGGGACACTTGTGGGCAGTTGGAAATATGCATGTGAGGCTGACGCAGGAAATGGTGAGATGGGTCACAGCTCTTTGCTGTCAGCCTCACGCCAACAGGTTGGAGTCGGTGAGCAGTGGTGGTAGATGGCTGTGTGAATGAGAACTGAGCGACACTGCTGTGGCAGAACTCCCGGCAGGCTGGGAGGGCGCCTCACCGGGTGCATACACAATACACTTTTCTGAGACAGTGTGGGGACTTGAATTTTTTTTCTTTTTTACATAAAAATTTATCTTTTAATTCCATTCCCTGTGAGTTGATATTTAAAAAAAAACCCACATATTTTTAAGTGACAAAGCTTCTTAGTACTTACATCTGTTTTTTTTTTTTTTTTTTTTTAAAAAAAAAGGTTAGAATTGAAACTGAATCTTCTTTGATCCCAGTGGAGGGACAGCCCGTGCACTGGTTCCGGTAATGAGGGGCGTGTGTGATGCGTTGTGTTATAGTATCATCGGATAAATGAGCCACATTCTAATAAGAACTGTAATAATGGCTCAGTGCAAAAAGTTGTAATCACTCTCATTTCCTTTTTTTTTTTAATTTCAAAAAGCTCCAAAATATTTTTGTTTACATGTTTTTGTCTTAGAGACGTATAATAGGTTGATCAATAAAATGCTTCCATGCATAAAATACTTACATGGAAGATAAATCCATAGGGAGAAGTCAAATGGATATAGAACTTTTAAAAGAAAAGGGTGTCGGCCCGGCCCCATGGCCAGGCAGCTAAAGTCCTCCCCTTGAATGCGCTGGGATCCCCTTGGGCACTGGTTCTAATCCCGGCAGCTCTGCTTCCCATCCAGCTCCCTGCTTGTGGCCTGGGAAAGCAGTCGAGGACGGCCCAAAGCCTTGGGACCCTGCACCGTGTGTGAGACCTGGAGGAGGATTGGCGCAGCACCGGCCATTGCGATCACTTGGGGAGTGAATCATCATTCAGAAGATCTTCCTCTCTGTATATCTGACTTTGCAATAAAAATAGATACATCTTTTAAAAAAAAACCAAAAGGGTGTTTTACATTTTTAAATCAAGTAGTTTATGTAAACGAATGATGGCATAGAGATTCCACTGGGTGCTTTGCAAACAAGATGTACAAGTTTTATTTTAAAAGCTTATTTTATTTTAAAAGCTTATTTTAAAAGCTTTTAGTATTCACGGCTTGCTGGTAACTGTGTCCTTTGTGACGCTTTAAGTTTTCCTGTGAAAACCTTGCCCTGACAGCTGCAGATGTGAGGGAGCCCTGGGGCTGGACCAAGTTCACCCCCGGGCATGAAGCAGGCTGCAGGGCCCCACCCAGACTCTTTGCTGGGCATCTTCCACCTGGACTCCCAGGAGGCTGTTGCCATGTTCTTGATTCAAGATGGTGATGTCTAACGTGTTTAATGTGGGAAGAGCAGTCGAGTGTTGTACACACTATGGCGTAGCGGGCGGAGCTGCTGCCTGCAACTGGCATCCCATACAGAGGCATTTCAAAGTCAATGGCAGCTATTCTACTTCCAATCCAAGCAGTCCTCAGCTGCTTTCTCAGGCCACAAGCAGGGAACTGGATGGGAAGTAGGGCTGCCAGGATACGAACCCCAGTGGGAAGGATTTAGCTACTAGGCTATCTCACCGGACCCTTTCTGTAAAACTGTTCCAAGAATCCAGACCACTGGGCTTCTCAGGTTGGCAGGCTGCAAGCTACTGCCTGTATTGCCAGCTCTGTCCACCTGAGTGTGAAATGCAGTTCTCCCTGGTCTCCCTCCCAGGCCCCTGCTGGGGACAGTAACTGCCGCCTGCTCCGGGCTGTGCGGCTGTGCCCGAGTGGGAGCATTTGCTCTGGGTAATGACGGGGTCTGGAGCAGGCGAGCAGGCGAAGCAGGAAAGGGCGTGATTGCGATGGGCTAAACAGCTTGTGCTTCTGCATGGCTCTCTCGTTGGTCCGTATCATCTTAAAGCCATGCTATTGTTTTTGTCACAGCAACTCTCCCTTAGTCCCATTTATTTTTTTTTTTATTATTGTTGTTATAATTATTAGAAATGGCTATAGAGGTTTGTTTGCTGGCAAATAGGCAGGCTTCAGAGCAATGAGGTGAAGGCTGGGCAGGCGTTGCTGCTGGTGCCGGAAGGGGTGCAGGCTGGAGGCCGGCAGCGCATGTGTGTAGTCTGAGGATGCCTCTGCGTTTGCACCCCCGCAGGCTGGCGGGGCCGAGGGGACAGATGTGTGCCGCAGAGGGGCGAGGGGGGTGACTGGAGCCCCGTGAGGCCACGTCCTTTGTCTGTAGGACCAGGGGCAGCTTAGTGGTTCAGGCTAAGGGTATCAACCCGTCCTGTGCTACAAATCCTGTGTTAAAATTGGAGCCCATTTTCCTACTTGCTCTGGCCCCATCCCCACTGAAAAGGCTCATTTCTCTCTGCAGCTTTTATAGTTTCTTCTTTAAGGCTTCTGGCTTCAGATTGGCACAGCTCTGGCTGTTGTGGCCACTTGGAGAGTGAATCAGCTGATGGAAGATCTTCCTCTCTGTCTCTCTTCCTCTGTATATCTGACTTTCCAATAAAAATAATTTTTTTTAAAGGCTTAGTGAACTGAAAGAGCTATTTGAAAAGTAAGGTAGGTTTGGGGTTTTTTGTTTTGTTTTGTTTTGTTTTGTTTTGTTTTAGATTTATTTATTTATTGATGGACTTAGCAATCTGTGTGTCTGGTTCACTGTCCAAATGGCCACAACAGCCAAGACTGAGCCAAGCCAAAAATCAGGAACCATTCCAGGTGTGCCATGGTCTACAGGCCACCTGTCCATGCCAGGCACATGAGCCGGAAGCCAGGTCGGCATCAGAGCATCTGGTACTCAGGCTGGTATCAGATATGAATGCTGGCTCACAAGTGGTCACTTAGCCTGTCATGCCATGACGCCATTCCCTTGATTTATTTTTGAAGTTAGATTTGCTAGTAATTTGTTTATTTGTTCATTTGTTTGTTTTAAAGATTGATTTGAAAGAGTTATGCGAGGGGGGAGAGGACGAAAGAGAGAAATCTTCCATTTGCTGGTTAATTCCCCAGACAGAAGCTGGGAGCTTCGTCCAGGGCTGCCATGCGGTTCAGGAGCCCAAGCATCTGGGCCATCCTCTGCTACGTTCCCAGGCGTATTATCAGGGAACTGGATTTGAAATGAGCAGCCAGGACAAACTGGTGCCCCTGTGGGATGCCAGTGTCACAGGTGGTAGTTTTCCCTGATGTGCCACAATGCCATCCTCCAAGAGCCAAGTTCTTTCTTACCTAGGATGGCAGGTTATATTTTTAGTTGGACTGTAAAAATGTCAGAGCAAGCTTCCTTTTCTCCTCGAGTTGTTGACTGTTGGTCCGTCCCCTAGCTCTGGGTGCTGTTTGTCAGTGGCCCTTTGTGCAGGGCGCAGGCCTGGGCCGCTGCTTCAGATGACCCTGTGTGCCGTCACGCCCCGCACTTCACCCATCATTTTCACCTGTCGTGAACATTTTCACTCAGATCTGCCTTGCTCCTCGTGCTTCTTATCATTGTCAGAGAGGATCTGCTGTGGTCCGTGGTCAAAGTCCTCCTAAGTTTGTGTCACAACACCAGCAAGGTCTCCCTGCTTTCAGACCGCCCCGTCTTGGCAGTGGCTGGGCCACGGTGTGTGTGCATGCATGCGTGTGTGTGTTTTGCATTTAATAGTAGGAACACAGATTGGGAGTGATCATTACATTTCAAGAGCCCACGGCCCTAGCATGTAGTGATTTCTTTTCATGGCAAAACCCAACTTTAGAAATAAATTAGCCAGTCAAATTGTTTATTAGGCTACAAACAGAACACGGGGGGCTGGGAAATGGGGGAGCCCTGGCCCTCTCCTGAGCAGCTGTGCACATGGCAGTAATTGGAATCTTGTTGCTGGGTCGTTTTCATTGTTTTTCAAGTACTGCTAAGTCCGAGAAAATGTATGAAAACTAAATTATATCTCCCGCATGCCATGTCTGATTGAATCCTCCTCATGGCGTGGCAGACTCATTCCTCCTATTAAAATATTCCATCTTGTCTTCTTACTTGAAGAGCCTCTGCAAAGGGCAGGCATACTGAAAACTCATTCCCTGGAGACACGGTAGCCAGCCACCCTGGACTATTTACATATCTCACTAGTTGATTCCTTATATTTGTGGTTAAGAGCTGTGGGATGCATTTTTAATTATGCGGCCATGTTTTCAACGGCAGAAACAGGTTTGGGCACTCCATAGCTTACTGCTGGCTTTTTAATCTTGAAAAGCTAACCAAAGCATTAACCAGTTTGTTTTGTGTGTCTTTCAGGACAGAGCTATATCGATCCCTGTTTGGCCAGCTCAGCCCTCCTGACGAAGGCCCGCGGGACTGACAGCTCCCCTCTCTGGCCTTGGGCCTGATTCAGGCCCACCCAGCACACAGCAGCTCCTTGGCAGTTCAGCTGCGCGTCCAGATGGAGGAAACCATTGCCTTGATGGATCAAGCCAGCAGGGAAATCCCGGGGCAGGTGCTGTGTTGGAAACACATGCCTGTGGCCTGCCCAGGCACCTGCAGGCTGCAGGCCCTTTAGCCCACCACCAGTGAAGATGGTCCCACCACCTGTGTCTTCCAAAGCAGTGCAGGGGGAGCTGATTGGAGCTGTGGCAGGATGACACATTTGTTGGGATGGTTTTCAGCTTTTTCTTTTCACAGGCTTCCTTGGACAACATAGAACTTGGCCTTTTCTTTATCTGTTCACCCATTAATGAAGACTTAGTGTGCTTTCATATCTTGGGTGTTGTGAATCATAGGGACGATTCCAGTTCTTTGTGTAAAAACCGGTTTAGGACAGCGGTATTTCCAGTGTTTCCAGGCATCACCATTTGTGTTTTCCCAGAGGCAGTGCTGATTTGCACCAGCAGTATGCAAGGTCTCTTTCTCTCCATGTCATCACCAGCACTTATCCATCCTAACAGGTGTGAGGTAATAGCTTATTGTGGTTTTAATTTGCATATCCCTCATGATTAATGATGCTGTTTGCCATTTTTTTTTTTTTTACCTTCTTTTGATACATTTCTGGGTCCTTTAAGTGGATTGTCTTCTGAGTTGCTTCAGTTTCTTATATGGAAGTGTAAATAAAGAAAACGTGGTCTGAACACACTCTGGAATAATATTCATCCTTAAAAAGGGTGTCCTGTCATTTGAGACAGTGTGGATGAACCTGGAGGGCATTATGCTAAATGAAATGAGCCTGGCGCAGGAAAAGAGTCCTGTGCCATGTGACTTAGTGGTGAGATCTGAAAACATGGAGCTTAGAAGTGAGGAGCAGGGATCTGGTCCGAGAGGCTTGGAGTTTTCAGTCATGTGGCACAGAGGTTCAGCTGCTAAGGGATACATTTTGCGACCTGCTGCACAGAAGGGCGGCTGCCAGATTTCCAAATAAGTTAGTAAACTGAACGTCTTGCAAGTCAGATGCTGGCTGTGCGCATCAACTTGACCTCATCTTCCCGCAGTGTGTGCGCCCATCACATCAGTTGCAATTATGACTTTTCAACTACAAATCACTTTTAAGAACTAACTGGCACTGAAGTGGCAAGATTGGCAGCGATTCATAACTGTTGAACTATCAAAATCACTTGAGCAAGAACCTCAGAGCATACCCTACATCCGGGACCTGGGGAGGGTGGGAAATTGGGTGGGCCTTCTCCCTTAATACCCCCCTTTAAACATGAAGGAAACAATATGGAAAAATAGTCTCACCCACTTTCCTGTAGCCCTTGAACCTTTTTACCCTAATTAACTATGTAAAGATTGTCAAAAATATAATTTAAAAAAAAGAAGAACTAACTGGCACAGGACACTGTGGATGGTGGTTCCTTGTTATCAGGGCTCTGAAGGGTAGGGAATCCTCACAGACCTACCCCCGGTGCCCAGCGAAACCTTGCCGCTTGGAGATAGTTGCACATCTCTGACTACTTCTTGCTTTCTCCTTCTCGCCTGTAAATACTCTCCCAGAGTCCTGCTCTTTTCTTGCCATTTCCAAACAGCACGATTGAGATTAGCTTTGGTATAAATTTAGTAGTAGTAGGGGGACGATTCACTTGCTTTTCATACGAAGGCTGAAAACTGAGAATTAAATCCCCAGAAGGGGTACTTACTGGCCTGTTATGGTCAATATGTAGGGAAGATGAGCTTGCATAAGCAGTGTGTGATGATGGGTATTTTGCTCATGGGACTGACCAACTCCTGGGTCCTCTGCCCAAGAGTTTTTCTTTTTTTGATTTACTTTTATTGCAAAGACAGATTTTCAGAAGGAGAGAAAGCTGTCCCATCCACTGGTTTCACTCACCCAAAAGCCACAACAGCTGGAGTTGAGGCAATCAGAGCCAGGAGCCCCCTCTTAATCTCCCATGTGGGTGCAGGGTCCCAAGGCTTTGGGCTGTTCTTGACTGCTTTCCCAGGCCACAAGCAGGGAGCTGGATGGGAAGTGGAGCAAACAGAACAGGAACAATGTCCATGTGGGATGCTGGTGCATGAAGGTGTGCAGCTAGCCTGTTGCCCACCTTTTTTTAGCACTGCAGAGTAAGAAGAGAAATATAGAGTCTAGGCAAATGAGTCCAGTTGTAGCTATTAAGTAGTTACTTTTTTTTTTTAATATATAGCCCTGGTTTGATCTTTTAAGCTGTTTATTTGAAAGGCAGAATGAGAGCCTGCATCGCTGGTTCTCTCCCTCAGTTCCTGCAGCAGCAGGGGCTGTGGCTGGCTGATGCTTGGAGCCAGGAGTCCCATCCTGATCCCGTGTGGGTGCCCAAGTACCTGGACCGTCTCCCACTGCATCCAAAGTGCATTAACAGAAAATAGGAGGTGCCCCCATGTAGAATGTGGGTGAAAGCAGCAGCTCAGTTCGCTGTGCCACAGTGCTTACTCACTACTGTCTGGCAATGTCAAGATGCAGGATAAAGCTTTTGTGCCCAGAAATCCTGTGTGTCACTGACTCAGGATCTTGGTGCCACAGCCTGCTGTCCAAGGGCTTGACTCCAGAGGGAGTGAGGTCTGAGTGCAGAACAGATCTGCTGAGCTCAGGACTGGGCCAGCAGAGAAAGGAGGGCTTCTCTACCTTATGGAGACCGGACCTCCACAGACGACGATCGGCTGGCTTTCTTGTCTCAGCACTAGGCTCTTGGGCTTGACTGCAAGGAACATGGCTAATGTCAGTGTGTCTCCAACTGCTCAGAAGATCCATCAGCAGAAAGGAGGGGATTCCCCCTACATTCACCCATTCTAAAGTGATTCCAGAACGTGCAGGCTTGTCCACATGGCCCAAGGACTCTGGCTGGTGTGTGCCATGATGGCAGAGAGGGAGTCTCCTTGCTTGACCTGGTGAGCCCAGTGCCAACCCCGACCCTTCTGAAGGAGACAGGAACCACTCCTGGTCTGATGAGGAAGGGTTCAGTGGGCTCTTCAAAATATTGAGTCTAGCATTTTAATTAAAATGAGAAACAGGAGAGATGAAAAAGGAACTGACAGAATACTCACTAAAGGAAGGCCTGCGTTTTAAAATTCACAAGACCACCCTCCTTCCAGCCAAGAATAAATTGGAAACTATTTTAATTGACACAGATACTGCAATTCAACTGTTACTAGAAAGACAGATTAGTTGATTGATTTGCATTTTAATAAAACTAATACTTTACATTTTGGTAGCTAATGCTGATTTTTAAATGAGTTGAGAACAGTTATCAAGGGTTTCAATCCAGAGCCCTTTTTTGGTGTTGACTGAAGCATCCCCCTCTTTTGTGTGCAGTTTGCTTATTTTATTTTTGCCCAGCTGAGTGCTTCACACACGGCACTCATAAACCACAGACCTTGGAGACCTCGGCAGCAAGGACAGCGACGCTGTGAGCTGCACCCGGGCGGAAGGAGCGAGGCCACTAGCCTGCTGTGCAGCCCGGCTGGAGAGGGGACAGCTGCACGGGCTGCTCCCTTCAGGACGGGCCACGGGAAGGCGGGGTTCTTGGCTGTTTGCTTCAGCTGTTTGCTTCCCACCCCGGGCACTGCCCCGCCCCCTGAACATAACACTTGGCAGCGTTAACATTTTGGTGCTTCCCTGAGTCGGCGCCAGGGATGGCCTCCGTGATTCCCTGTGGAAAGAAACCGAGGAGCAGTCAGGGCTGAAGACTTGGCTTCTCTTTTAGACTCCTGAGAGGTTTTACTCGCCCTTTGAAAAGCACTAAAAATGAGAAGATTGTGCAGCCGTACCTGCCATGCCCACTGTCCCAGTGCCAGTTAAAAACACTGGCATGCAGCAGTCCGCATTGCATGTTGCCATCAACAGCGCCATAAGGGAGGATTTTCGTGTTTTTATAGATGGCAAATTTTAATCATTCCATCTGGGACATGTAAGACCAATATTTTACCAAACCCCATGGTGCTGGACAATTCCATTGCTTCCAGGTTTCTGTTACTATGAGTAACGTGACAGGACACTTGTACCTCAAGCTTGGATGATTTGGTTGTTTTTGTTTTTTGAAGCTTCTGGGTTTTTTGGCATATGTTTGAAGGAATAAAATGAGCCAGGTGGAAGGGGGTCTAGATGGGCGGAAGGAACTGGTCTGGCACTTTCCAGCCTGGCCTTGCAGGCCAGGGCAGCACAGGGTGTAGGGAAGCCGTGCTGTGGAGACGCCATCACCTCCTCTGTCACCTCCTCTGCCCAGGGAGCGCTTCAGCAGCGCCTGCAGAAGCAGCATGAAAGCTGCCTGAGGCGCTGTGAGATGCTGCAGTGAGAAAGGGTGACTACACAGCAAGCGGGCTGCGCCTCCCATCCAGCTCTGGCCCAGCTCCCTGGGAGCCGTGAGCTCGCTCTCCTTGATTTGCCCGTGCCTGCTGCTCACCGTGTCTTCGCCCTCGGGTCCTCCCAAGCAGGCTTTCTTGGGTCACCCAACCGCTCTGTGCTTTGTCCAAAGTGTGCAGCCATTCCTCTCAGGAACACTGGCCTGGACCCCTTTCTGAAGTCACTAGTCACCCCTTTCTGAAGTCCTAGTGTCAACAGAAGAGCCACTTCAGCAGAACCGGCTCCGACCAGCCAAGTGACAGGTGCCCTCCACAGGGTGGGTGTGGGACAGCCACTTCCCTCTAGGCCTCCACAAAAAAAAAAAAAAGCCTCTCCAAGATGACCACCTCCTCAAGGTCTTGGCCTCGGGGAGCTCATGGGATGCTAGAGACCCAGAGTTAACGCCCGCGTGGTGCTCCTCCCGCAGGCCACGGCAGGCGGTCTGCATGCGGAAGGCGGTCTGCATGCGGAAGGCGGCAGCGCCAGGATCTGGGTGTGCTCCGCACAGAGGTGGCGGAGGCCGGGGGCGCCCATGTCAGGGCGTCTGCACACGTGCTGCCTCCAGCTGTGCCACCTCCCCACCCCACCCCTCCACCTGCTGTTCTGCCATGCATTTTATAAGGGCAGATCCCACCTACAAGCCTTGTACCTGGTGCCGCCGTCTAGTTTTTACTTCTTAAGTTCCTGTATGTGCTTGTTTATTGCTATTGGGAATTTAAGATTTTTTCCCCCCTCCAATTCCTCCTGCTTCATTTCGTGTCTCTTTACTCTGACGTTTTGGTTCGCCTCAGGAACGTGTTCTCCGCGTGCCACGGCGGCCTGGCCAGGCCCCTGCACCGTCAGTCTGGAGGCAGGCGAGCAGGGCGCGAGACACCCGAGGGGCGGTCGCCTGTGCCCCACCCTGCCCGCCTGCCGCCTGGTCTCCCCCGGCACCATGGCCCCGCAGCGCTTCTCTGTTGGTTTATTTCTTCTGGGCCAGGGCTCTCAGGGTTCATTTGTGGAGGTCAAGGATGCTGGCTTCTCAGGCAACAAATTTTAAAAGAATGGTGCGTGGGAGGGGGGAGAACCCAATCGCCTCTCGCGCATAGCACACTACCGGCCCCTCGGCCCCATCTTCCTCTGCGGGACTGCACCGGAAGTGAGGTGGGCCGCCATTTTGCCGCTCTCCAGTCGGGTGAGTGCCGGGTTGGCCTGGGGCGCAGTCGGGCCGGGAGGGCAGGTTGTGGAGGAGAGGGGTCCCACCGAGGAGTATGCAGGGTGGGGCCTAGGGGCAGGCCGGCTGGGGGCCCAGGGAAGGGTTCAGCCTCCCTCAGAGCGGGGAGCA